CCACCACCACCACCACCACCACCACCACCACCACCACGACCACTGCCGCCGCCACCTCCAACACTGTCACCGCCGCCGCCGCCACCTCCGCAACCACCGCCACCACGACCACGACCATCGCAGCCGCCGCCGCCACCTCCAACACTGCCGCCACCACCACACCACCACCACCCCGGGAGTCTGGTGAAACTTGACCCGATCACCATCAATTACCAAGCGTCTGCCGGCGGCGCTGCCGGAGCACCCCAGCACCACGCCGCTGTCCTCGTCTGCCTCCGCACGGTCGGCGCCGCAGCATCTTCCCGGCCGCACCACGTGCCTGTCGCTGCGCGCAGCCAAACCCCGCTCAGCGGCAGACTGATTCCGAGAGTCGTTTTCGTCGCACTCTCTCTCTCTCGCAGCTCCACGGAGCGCTCCACGAGTGCAAGAGAGACAGAGCGACGAAAACGACTCTCGGACTCAGTCTGCAGCAGCGCCGGCTCGTGTGGTAGCCGAACCACCTGTTGCCGACCCCTCCGCCCCCCCCCCCTTTCCCGAACCGCCTGCTCAGCAGAATTCCCACATTATCTGTCCGGAGCGTCGTGAATCTTCCGCCGTGGAGAAACATGGTGGAACCGGTCGGACGGCCGCCGCCTCTTGGCACCAAACTATGAAAAAGTTAGAGGCGCGGTGGAGGCGAGAGGCTTTGAGGGGGGAGATAGAGGAGGAGAGAGAGAGGGAGAGAGAGAGAGAGAGGGTGAGAGAGAGAGAGGGAGAGAGAGAGAGAGAGAGAGAGAGAGAGAGAGACGCTGCGTATCAGGGCGTCCTGCTGCGATTCGGCGCACTGCGTGTAAACAGATAGAGCCTCTCTCCCCTCCTCTACTTCTTTGTGTCACTGCGCCTATCTGCCCCGTGGCTGTGGCGCCACTGCTCCCAACCACTTTTTTCGTGGCGCCTGCCGCCTCCGGGGTTTTTTAGTTTTTGTTATCGTTCCGCTGGAAAATCCAACAGGAAATAGCGTCGAAAAAAACGACAAGAAGAACAAAACAGTTATTGTCAATAACAGGAAAATGGTATTGCAGTGTGCTGGTTTGTTCCATTGAGGAAAAACGGCCCGCGTGGGCGGGGGGTGTTTACTTGGCACACGGTCCGGTGGCCTTTACTCCATTAATAAATATAGCGCCGCACCTGGAACAGACAGCCCAGCCAGTGTGGCCAGCGCTGTTGCTGCTGTCGCTGCTGTTGTTGGCTTTCGGTGTTTGCTTCTGGCAGCTCGGCCTTCTCGCCCTTGACGGCTGCAGTCTCATTTCCCTAACGGCTTGGCGGGGCGGGCCCAATGGGCAGGCGTGCCCGCCAGGGGAGGGCGGCCGGCCGATTAGCATGGTAAAGGGGGTAGCCCTTGAAGGCCTCGCCGCGGTACCCGCGTCGCCCCGGGCCGCGCTGCCCGGCGCCGCCCCGCCGACCCTGCCCGATGGACCGCCAAGGGGGGACAACTTTACGGCCAGAACGCCCCAGGGCCCCAGCAGGTCAGGCCCCTCGCTTTCTCTTGGCGGAAAGTTGCCGATCCGTCATTGCGGGTCATTAGCATTGCGCTGCTGTTGCGCATCCACAGCGCCATCTCGCGGCCGTCCTTGGCTGGCCGGGCTGCACAGTGGGCCAGAAGACAGGCACAGGCGCACAGCGGGCCAGAATCCGGTAAAGGCGGCCAAAACTCTAGACGCGGTTTGAGCTCCAGAGTCGCTAAAAAGGCCTCGAAACGAACATGTGACCCCACCAATGAATTCCTCCGGGAGAGCAATCCATTGGTGGGGTCACACGTTCGGTTCGAGTCCTGCTTAGGGACTCTGGAGCTCAAAACGCGTTTAGAGTTTTGGCCGCCTCCACCGGTCTTCCGGCCCACTGTGAGGCGGTGAAACCTCTAGACGCGTTTTGAGCTCCAGAGTCGCTGAACAGGGCTCGAACCGAACCTGTGACCCCACAAATGGATTAGTCATTCGGAGAGAAGTCCGTTGGTGGGGTCAAAGCGTTCGGATCGAGGCCCATTTAGCAACTCTGGTGCTCAAAACGCGTCCGGAATATTTAACCGCCTCCACCAGTCTTCTGGCTCACTGTGGGGGCTGGCGGGGCCGGCGGCGGGGCAGGCGGGGCACCTCGCTACGACCACTCATCAATTGAAGGACCCCTCCCCGCTTGTCCCCGCCCACGCGGCGGCGTCGCAGTGGCGACGCAGCGGCCATCAATTTCTCTCCACCTATCATCGCCGTATGTAAAGAAGATGTCGGTCATCAAGACGGGGGCCTTGGAGTGGCGCAGGCTTGGCGCAGGCGGCCGGACGGCGGCGTCCCCGGCACTGCCGATCGTTCGCGGTGCGCATAAAAAGGAGCAGGGCCTTCCATGACCCGGAGGGCCTGGAGCGGCGTGGAGGCCCCGAAGGCCGAGGGTCGTGCGTGGCGACCTTGGGGACCTTGAGGGAGCACTGCGGCGTCGACAGGCGGCCTGTATCCGCGCGCCCGCGTGCCCGGCTGTCTTTAGGGCTGGCTGCTTTTTGGGCTAGCTTCCTTTGGGACTGGCTGCCTTTAGGGCCGGCTGCCTTAGGTTGGCTGGCTGCCTTTGGGGCTGGCTGCCTTTTGCGCTAGCCGCCTTCGGGGCTGGCTGCCTTTAGGGCTTGCTGCCTTTGGGTCTGGCTGCCTTTAGGGCAAGCGGCCTTTGGGCTGGCTGCCTTTGGGGCTGCCTTCCTTTGCGGTTGGTTGCCTTTGGGACTGGCTGCCTTTAAGACGGGCTGCCCTTAGGGCGGGCTGCCCTTAGGGCTAGCTGGCTTTAGGACGGGCTGCCCTTAGGACGGGCTTCCCTTAGGACGGGCTGCCCTAAAGGCGGGCTGTCCTTAGGACGGGCTGCCCTTAGGACGGGCTGCCCTTAGGACGGGCTGCCCTTAGGACGCGCTGCCCTAAAGGCGGGCTGTCCTTAGAACGGGTTGCCCTTAGGGCGGTCTGCCTTTAGGGCTGGCTGCCAATAGGGCTGGCTGCAGGGCGGGCTGCCTTTAGGGCTGGCTGCATTACGGCTGACTGGCTCACGGCTGGCCGCCTGAATGTGCCGGCAGCACTCCCGGTTGCCTATCTCTGGTGTCACAGGCTCGGCTGGCGAGGCGGGCCTAAAGGCGGCCAGGCCTGGTGCGTCCCGCCGCTATCTGCCGCCGTGTTTACCAATCTGGCGGCGCTGGCGGGTGTAGCGGCGCTATCGAGGGCCGCACTCAGCGCGGGGCTGCAGCAGGCAGGTGGTGCAGCGAGGCGGAGCGAGGCGGACGCCAGGAAGGGTGCCAGCAACAACAAGCACCGCTTCCACGAGAGACTCTCCTCTCCTCACTCCTCCGCTTCCCAGAATGCTCGTCGCCACGTCACGCCCCACGGCGCCGAGGTGGGCGTGGGCGGCGGAACGTGGAACCTCACTCGGACGGAACGTGAGGCGCAAGGCGCTCGAAGAGCAGGCAGCCAACTTAAAAAATACGATTTCAAGAAATCCTAGGAGTCACGAAGTCAATTTGATTATTGTGTAAGAGTGTGGAGAAAGAAAAGAAGTGGTGTTGTGAAGTTGTGGCTCAGGGGACTACCAATGGCAGTGGTACCAATGTGGTCGATGTGCCATCCGTCGAAATTTAAACTTGACAATAAATAGAAATCAAAATGCTGGTAAATTCAAAAAATTCCAATGCTAATGTATTCCGCAGTGTTCTGACAATGGAACATCTTTGAAGTCCATCATGATTAAAATGTTCTTAGCAGAAAGAAGTCAGTAAATTAATTTTCTCGGGTTGGCAACTATTTTCTCGGCGTCTGCGCCCTTGCGAAAACTGCCCCTCCATTGTTGTGGACGTTGAATTGTTTGGCTTGTTTCAAAAGGCTATGGTTCTCTAGTCATGTTTTCTTCAATTCTGTGTAATAGTTCTCCCTTACAACGTATCAACACCACGACGGTTGGTTTGACAAACTTCATAAACTCGGGAGGGATGGTTTCGAAACGCGGGTGAGTCTTGTTCGAGGAACATGAGCACTGCAAGTCGCGAGGTGGAGCGAAGTGGTCCTAGTGCTAACTGAATCACAACAACAACACTGCGCATGTCCAAAAACACTCCAATCAAGAAGTATTATTGGATAGTTCTACCCGAAAAACTGCGTTCGAACCGGCACCAATTCTATTGTTGCATCTTGTCTACCTGCAGTCAAAGAAATTTTTCATTTCGAACGTTGCTTTTTCAGCTTTTGGAGTAAGCTGTACAGACCCAAAAAGAAGCTCCGCTATTGGTCCGCCCCGGCTCGGCTCCCCCCACTCCCTTTTTTTTCCTTTGACGAGTCGAGTTTTGCCATGGAAACGGCGATTTTGACAGCAAATTGCTCAAAATTGGCCACCAAATTTTTGACCAGATTTCAACATCAGAATCAGCGTTTAAAGTTCTACTAGTCTGCAAAATCTCATTAAAATCGTATAGAAAACTTCCGAAATGCATAAAGGGCCACACAAATCAAATCTCGAGCCGGCTGAGTCCTGGGTATACTATAAGGCTACTTCGTGCCTAAAAATGCGGCGCACGGAGGAGCCCGCCGCGGCGAGACACGTACGGAGGTGATGCGAAGTTCACCTTCATTTTTCGGCAGATTGGGCAGGGATTGCCATATGGGTGACTTCCAAACAAAAGTCTATCCAATAGTTTCAAGATTTTTTCATTTAAAAAGAGTATAAATTTTGCGGAACATTTCTTTGTGAATTTAGATTTTTGATCCAGTCAAGACGGCGCACTTGAGATAGACCACTCCAGCGGGACTGTGCGGAGACCTGCTGACGATGGTCCACTGGCCAGCGTCCGGCTGGACAAACTACAGTGAGCGGCGGCGAGCGGCTTATTGGCGGAGGCAAAAAGCCGCGTGAAGATAACGCCATTCACGTCGTTCTGGCCGCCACCCCTTTTGTCCTCGGGGCGTGTCGCACCCCGCCCCATCCCGCCCGCCATTAGATTAGGCATTGTATGTGACATGTTGCGGGGCGGCATGTGAGTGTAATAGCACCACCTAAAGCCCCGGGCAGCGAAACTCACCCGATCCTGACAGACGGCCTCGCCTGGTTCCGCGACCTTGGTTTTCGGTTCTTCATCCCCCAGCCAGCAGGCTGATTCCGTGCACTGCTAGTGACTGTCTCTCTCGCACCCTTGTAGAACGCTCCACGAGGGCGAGAAAGACAGAGCGACGAAAGCAGAGCTCGGCTGCTGGCATTCCATCCGGTTCGGCCAAGCCTTCCTTCCTTCCGGTCCCTCCCATTCCACTTCCATCTCCGTCGCTCCTTCGCATGAAGGCAGGCGGCCTCCGAACAGGACGACGCAGTTCGGAATCAGCCCCAGGGCGCCCTGATGAAGCCAATTCATGAGCAGCCACGGGGTGCCGCCGGCCGGGCCGTGCGTGGACGGGGCCTGACCGGGGGCCTGGCCTTTCGCCGGGGGCGTCGGCGCGCACCTCACTGGGCGGTTAAACACACTGGCCGTCCAGCAACAGTCTCGAACCTCGAACAGTCTTATACAGTCTTCAACAATTGCTCGAGCAGCTTGAACGGGCTCTTGAACAGTCCTAACCCAGCCAGAATTAGGTGGTCGAAACGACATCGGTTCGACGTAGAATCGATGGGTGTTTCATCGATTTTACGTCGAATCAACGTCGTTTCGAACACCTCATTCTGGCTGGGAAGCCGTCATTAAACAGTCTATTGAACAGTCCACGCTCTCGAACAATAGCTCCAACAGTCTGGAACAATAGCAGTCTCATTTCAGGAACGTGACATCACGTACAAACGAATGTGACAAAAAGTCACGTTTCTTTGAGCATTGTGTCAGATTCGTTTGAATGTGAATAAGCTAATTTATGGCTGATTCGCCATCGAAACGAATGTGACACAATGTTCAAACGAACGTGACATTTTGCCACATTCGTTTGAACGTGATATCACGTCCCTTGAAGGAAGTGAGCCCTAACTGTCTCGAAAATTCACTAGAACGGTTTCAAACAGTGGCTCGAACAGGCCCTCGGACAGTCTTCAACAGTGGGTCAAGCAGTCTCCAGCAGTCGGTCAAACAGTTTCAAACAGTGGCTCGAACAGGCGCTCGGACAGTCTTCAACAGTGGGTCAAGCAGTCTCCAGCAGTCGGTCAAACAGTTTCAAACAGTGGCTCGAACAGGCGCTCGGACAGTCTTCAACAGTGGGTCAAGCAGTCTCCAGCAGTCGGTCAAACAGTTTCAAACAGTGGCTCGAACAGGCGCTCGGACAGTCTTCAACAGTGGGTCAAGCAGTCTCCAGCAGTCGGTCAAACAGTTTCAAACAGTGGCTCGAACAGGCGCTCGGACAGTCTTCAACAGTGGGTCAAGCAGTCTCCAGCAGTCGGTCAAACAGTTTCAAACAGTGGCTCGAACAGGCGCTCGGACAGTCTTCAACAGTGGGTCAAGCAGTCTCCAGCAGTCGGTCAAACAGTTTCAAACAGTGGCTCGAACAGGCGCTCGGACAGTCTTCAACAGTGGGTCAAGCAGTCTCCAGCAGTCGGTCAAACAGTTTCAAACAGTGGCTCGAACAGGCGCTCGGACAGTCTTCAACAGTGGGTCAAGCAGTCTCCAGCAGTCGGTCAAACAGTTTCAAACAGTGGCTCGAACAGGCACTCGGACAGTCTTCAACAGTGGGTCAAGCAGTCTCCAGCAGTCGGTCAAACAGTTTCTTTAACAGTTTTCAAACAGTCACTCGAACAGACTCGAGCATTTTCCGACAGTGTTGAAAGTGGGCATGAATAAAACGCTCCCAGACTGACCGGGTCGGTTTATCAAAAATTACGGATTCAATCGGAGGAGCGTCGCAGCGAGGGCAGGCAGGCGGCCAGGCAGGAGGCCCACGACGGCGTGCTCCCGGCGAGCAGGATATTGCGTTCAATTACAGAGAGGCCGCCGGCGAGGTTGGCGTCGCCGGGTCCCCGCAGGCGGAATGAATTTTTAAAACCCTCGGTGAAAACGGGCGGTGGAAAGGGGGCCGCTCGGAAATGGGGAAAACTGCGCGGACCGGTATAAAAACAGCAGGACGAGTCACAGCAAGCTCTATCTCGCAATTTTGCGGCAGAAAACGGAAAGAGTGTAGTTTATCAAACGCCATTTTCCAACAGAAATAACGAAACTGTGGTGGTGCAAATATTTATTTATAGCTGGTGCCCATCAGTGTCAGCTTTTTAGAAGCCCTACCGCGTGTCGTTGCGTTCACTACACACCAAATATTTTTGTAGAAATTTCGCACAGACATCACTGTTTTTGTGTACACGAAATTTTCGTACAAATTTGCACGCAATTTCGCACAAAATTGGGGGAAAATGTGCAGTTTTGCGTACAAAATTTGCACGAAAAGCTTGTGTGCCCCAAAACACTGTGATGTCTCGCACAAAATTGTACATAACATTTAGTGTGTACAAACCTAACTGTCCTCTGAGTGCACACTAACGAATGTATGCTTGCAAGTACACACTTTACTTGGCCAAGTATGCGTAAGTGAGAACTTCAAAGTGTGCATTTCTAAGTGTAAGATGAGAAGACAGTTTGGTCTGAAGTGTTCGCCGAAAACCGCGCGCACCACCGAAGGGGGAACAGCTTCCCACATTCGTTGTACAAAATTGACCACATTCCACAAAAACGCCTGTAAGTAGGCAACATGTGTGGCAGAAACGCCAGAAATCTTGCACATTCTTACACATTCACACAATCATTGTACACAAAATTTTACAGTGGTTCACCCCTCGCGCACCACCGTGACCGTCGCGCTGCCTTGTATTATTCCCCTCTCTAGACCTTTAAACAGACACTGAAGCGAGCGGTAACGGCAACAGTTGAAAGCAGTGCGTGTTTGAGACTAAAATAGCGCCGAGAGCGTGGTGGCGGAGGTGGGCGGGGGCGGGTAATCCAAGGCAGGGGCGCGAAGGGCATGGCAGGCGCCGAGTGGCCCACATCTCCATTGTGAATGGAGCGTCCTCGCCAAGGCGAAGGCCAACACCTTTTCAAATAGTTCCCCCTTTTGTTTCAGGAACAGGGCAGGGATGGAGCACGACGCTACGGCGCTCCTTCCTTTGCCCTCGCCTTTGTGTCTGTCGATGTTTTGTTGCTGTTGTTACTTGCAGGCCACCGTTTTTGAAAGGGAGTGTAGGGTTCGATGCCGAGGAGAGCTACGAGGGGAGAAACCCGACCGGAGCTTCGCGAAGCACCCCGCGCGCAGTGGGTCTCGCGCGCTAGTGCCGGGGTCGGGGTCTCCCTCGGTCCGCTCGGTCTAGCAGCCTCGAGACGACGACTTCTGGCTCAAATGAAAACGCGAAATGGTCGGCGGGCGTATGGGGGACGTCAACGAAGGTGCAACTAACCGAATTTAATCTTTCGGCGTTTGTGCGCGGGAACTGTACTTTCCCGCTCGTGGTACAGCCGGGCTCCGAAGGCCGCCGCCGTGGCAGGCCGCAGAGAGGTGCGGAAGGGGTGGGGTGCTCTATGCGGCGGATGTGGCCAGAGTGGCCAAGGTAGTTGGGCTAGTGCTTCCTATCGGTCGAGGGCGCGCCGTTTCCGGTCAGAGTACCACGGTGCGGCGGCGCTCCAAGCTGCAGACCATGAAATTAATAAAAAGGGTCGGTACTGTACTTGGCACTCCGGCAGTGCCCGCCAGCTAGAGGACCAGGGCAGCAGGGCAAGGCGGGGCGGCAAGGCGGGGTGGCAAGACGGGGCGGCAAGGCGGAGCGGCAAGGCGGGGCGGCAAGGCGGGGCGGCAAGGCGGGGCGGCACGCGCGGCGGACAACCAGGCTATGCAGTATCACTCCGCTTGATTGCGTTCGGGGATCAGCGCCCATTCCATAATTACGCAGACGGCGTCACGGATGAGAAATTTCTCATCGCCCGAAGTGTCGGTGCGACGGCGCCGTACTGCCATCTGGAGCACGCTATGCGGCTCGCCGGGGCCTCATCCGTGCCCGAGGGTTGCTCGCTGGGGGTGCCTCAGCCTCGCAGGCCCGCGGGGCGGCGGGACGCTTCGCTCGCTGGGGGGCTCCAGCCTCGCAGACCTGCAGCCCTGACCCGGGACGAGAGTGGATGCGAGCGCCGCGCACGCCACCACCTCCGCGCCGCACCGCCTGCCCGCCCCTCCACGCCTCGATGCGCGCCGGGCTTGGCCGGGCCGCTTACGGGACTCCTGCATAGTGGCTTCGTTAAATATTCCGGCCGTGGCATGCGAAGCGGCAGGAAGCAGCAGGAAAGCTGGCGGGCGGCCTGCCCATAGGCGGCAAGGCAGTCTGCTCAGCACGCGAGAATCGAGTTTTCCTCATTTTTGTCTGGAGTAGTAAAGGTGACTCAGAGTCCCGTGGCGCCATTTTGGAATCCCACGGTTCCGAGACGGTGCCTCAGTTAGCCAAAGCTTGGTTCTGGTTTGGGACTCAGGTTTGTCACCAAGATAGCGACGAACTTCGGTTAAGTTTCCGCTCACCCTCGTCACGAAGGGCCCGACTGAGCGGCGTCCCGATAGACCCTTTCACTCGTCGCCGAGTAAAGAAAACAAGTAATCGAAAATCCAGGAACCAGCAGTGCGCCACCTGGCAGCCGTTACGGTGAACTGTCAAAAGCTGAACCCTGATTGATCACAATCGTAGGTCTGGGTGAAGTTCACAGCAGTGGCCGCTTGGAAGCGCGCAGCTGGTTCCTGCTTCTTGATAGGCTCCGCCCTCCGCTCGGCGACGACTGAAGGCGATGGCGACCCGGAACAATGATGTACTTGGCCATGTTTGACATTGTCATACACTCAAAACATCATTAACAGTAAAACAAACAAACAAACGAACAAACAAACAAACAAACAAACAAACAAACAAACGAACAAACAAACAAACAAACAAACAAACAAACAAACAAGCAAACAAACAAACAAAACAAACAAACGCTATTTATTTTTGGCTGAGGAAACTCGCCCCCACCCGTGGTGCCGACCCTGGTGTGGGCCAAAGGGCACGCAGGACAGCAACGCGCTTTCGCAAAGATATGACATTGGACAGCTGAATCCGGTTGGGCCGAGGCGGCCCGAGGCAGCCCGAGGCGAAGACGCAGATCCCACCGCAGCAGGTCCGAAGGGCAGCAGGCGGGGAAAGGAGTGGGCGGGGAGAATATTGCAACCCGCCGCGGTTCAAGATTGCCCCCACGTTTGTTTACTCCGGCCCCGTTCCGCCAACTGGCCGCGGGCAGAGTGCGTCCACGCGGCGTCCACGCGCCGTCCAGCACGCAGGACAGTGTGGAATCGCTTTGGTTTTTTTTGCCCTTCCCGAATCTGTTGCGTCGTTTGACCCTTCACGAAGGCCCGGCCCGCCGGCTATGGGAATGGGGTTGGATTCGAATCGAGGGGGCGCGTGTGTGTGTGTGTGTGTGTCTGTGCCTGTGTCTGTGTCTGTGTGTGTGTGTGTGTGTGTGTGTGTGTGTGTGTGTGTGTGTGTGTGTGTGTGTGTAGGTGTGTGTGTGGCATCGGCGCGAGGGAGGCTTTGCGTGTCGGGAAAGGAGGTCTGCGGTGCGGCCCGGCTCCACGTATCCGTACCGAGTGGGGGACGACGGGGACGACCTTAATCGCCGCCGATTCCCTCCCTTCCCCTCTCCGCCCCCCCCACTCGCCGTTTTACTGCCCCTCGCCCCGCCACGCCCCACCCCGCCCCGGCACCGCACTTGCGGGGCAGACGTCTCTCTCCCTATGGCCCATCATTAGCCCTAGTGCAGTGCGGGTCTGGCGGCGGCAACAGCGCCGACACTGCCGCCAATCCGCGGCCACTTTCAGCAGATCGCCGTTCGTTCGGCCGAAAGTGCACTTCCCCGCGCCATGGCGTGTTTCGCTTCGTTCGATGGGTACGCATTCGACAGGAGGCAGAACAGGAGGCGGAGCAGGAGGCGGAGCAGGAGGCAGAGCAAGAGGCAGAGCAAGAGGCAGTAGTAAGAGGTGGGGCAGGAGGAACAGCGAGAGGCAGAGGAAGGGGCAGTAGTAAGAGGTGGGGCAGGAGGAACAGCAAGAGGCAGAGCAAGAGGCAGAGCAAGAGGCAGAGCAAGAGGCAGAGCAAGAGGCAGAGCAAGAGGCAGAGCAAGAGGCACAGCGAGAGGCACAGCGAGAGGCACAGCAAGAGGCTAGTGTTCCGCATCGGGCGGGTCGGTCGGGTTCTGTGAAAATTCGACCGCAGCGCTGCACCGCGACGTGTCATCGAAACTAAAAAACCGAAGTGGCTCCGAAGTGCCGCCGAAGACACGGCTTGGACATCGGCTGGCTCGGAAGCAGCCCCTCCTCGCCCCTCGCCCTGCATGTGACACAAACCGTCCCGACAGGTGCTGCCCTCTAGTCGGCAAAAGTAGCCAAGACGATCGGGTTGACGGCCGCCCGATGCCGTCCGAGCCGCTTGCTCATCGGGCGGGCCGGATCGGGCCGTTGGCTGCCAGCGCGATCGGGCGGTGCAAATCCGTACGACCCGCCCGATGCGGAACACTACAAGAGGCACAGCAAGAGGCAGAGCAAGAGGCACAGCAAGAGGCAGAGCAAGAGGCAGAGCAAGAGGCAGAGCGAGAGGCAGAGCAAGAGGCAGAGCGAGAGGCAGAGCAAGAGGCAGAGCGAGAGGCAGAGCAAGAAGCAGAGCAAGAGGCAGAGCAAGAGGCGGAGCAAGAGGCAGTAGTAAGAGGTGGGGCAGGAGGAACAGCAAGAGGCAGAGCAAGAGGCAGTAGTAAGAGGTGGGGCAGGAGGAACAGCAAGAGGCAGAGCAAGAGGCAGA